CTATTCTTAAAATAACTGCTTTTTTGAAACAAACCACCTAAAATATACGTGATTGATGAATTGGCGGAACAACAAGGGCACAAAGTTCTTCGTCTGCCTCCTTACCATTGTATATTTAACCCTATTGAGTTAATTTGGGGCATAGCAAAAGGTTACTATAACAGACATATTGGTAGAGATGGTAACAGTGAAAAAGACTGTTTGGATATGTGGAACGAGGCTCTACAAACGGTTACCCCAGACATGTGGAAAAATAGTGTTCGACATACTGAGCAAGAAATTTTTAAATGGTATGAAAGAGAACGAATTTTTGATCGACCAGACATCGAACCTTTAATAATCAACTTTGAGAGTGATGAAGATTCAGATTCAGACAGCGCTGAAGAAAGAAACTCCGACTAACTTTATTGTACAGAAAAAGCTTACACCAGTAGCTTACCTAATTTTAGAATGCATTTTTCTGTATGAATTCTGTAAAATAAATACCATGCATAAAATTTGGAGGACCCCATTTGGATTTTTATTCAGTACCTTTAAGCTATCAATTAAATATGGTAGTTTCATAGTGTCATCTGATCAATAATTGTCATACTTAATGATTATGCAAGTACAGATCTATAATTTTATTATACTATTATTTTTGTTCTCATTTGAGGTTAATATTGCTTATAAACCTAGATAGTAAATTATAAATTTTATTATTTTACAAAAAGTTTGGCAACAATGTAAATTTTTCAACACACCCACCTTGATGACGTGCACGCCACTTTGTTTGGCGTTGACTATAGTGAGTAAACGTGGAATGAACTAACCAGTGGGAAAGACGACAGTTCGTCGGGTTTTTCGACGTTTTAGGTTTTTTTTACATAATAGCCCTGCAGATCACCTACCGCCCGTCCGTGTGAGAGAGACTTGAGAATGATCATGAGAGAACCCATCTCTAAGCGTTAATGTGGCTTAAGAGTCTAAACATCCTCACTTCGAATTTCAGAGCTTTAACAAGATGAAAATACAAAATGCTCTGGAGCTGGCAGTAATTCTTCTACGCTATTCATTCGTTTATAATTAAGGCGCACGTAAAGCTACGACTAGAAAAATTAGAATTAAATACCTACTTAGTAAGCCCTCAGCGAGGTTTTAATCAACTTAAAAGTAAATTACATTGGGCCCGACAAATACATTTACTCTTGAATCTCGCTGGAGGCTAACCTAAGGCGATGTTAGAAAAAAGTAAAAATACCCTTCGCTGATTCCTAAATAGAATCTCCCTTAATATTTGGGACAGGTAATGCAATCAACGTAGCCGAAGTATTTGTAGAAGCATACTGTGCTAGAATAGGTCATGATGTCCTTATATACCATGTGTAACGGTACTGTATGCTTGAAGCTTTTTCTTTTACTTACTGCGTTACTGTAGCAATTCACATCACCATAACAAGAAGTTAATTTAATGGTCCAAACTTTGGATCCGTAACGTTTTAAAATATCAACAGTAACCAAATGAATAAATAATTTAGTGTAGTGTTTCTGAGCGAAGACTTCGTGGCGATCTTATAGTTACGTTCAGGATACTTCATGGTTTGATGGGCACCAACCTCATGCATCTATACCATCTGTCGCGCAGCAATCTACGCGGACACAGCTTCAAACTGCATAAGGAGCCATTTAAAACAACAGTCCGACAGTGGTTTCTTCCCAACCGCATACTCAACACCTGGAATAGCTTACCTGAAAGTGTGGTTGGTGCTACTTCAGTTAATAGCTTCAAAGTGCAGTATGATAGCTGGAGGAGTGTACAAACTTTATAGCTGTGAACTGTATTTTTTTTATTTTTTTCTATTTGATGTATTTGTATTACGTGTCCGTACACTATATTTACTGCATGAGCTTATAGTACTGTGTACTCTGCTCATCTCAATTATCATAATAATAATAATAATAATAATGTCTACAACTTGAAGATTATATATAGGACGTTAAATTGCATAAGTGAAACACATATTCTAGCAGTTAGAAGGGCGCAGAACCTGAAATGCATTTCTGATGCAACGAATGTTTTAACGAAAACACCGTTGGCACCATTAAAAGTCTTTATTACTCTCTCACTAATTTATTATTACTCTTGCAACTGATGTATTACAAGTTCTGAACTGAACTATGATATTGCGAGTTAACTCATCGTCCACTATCGGTCGGCTTCACCTCACTCTGCTCTCTGTGCGTGTATTTATTTTAAATCGACGAATCTAGAAGCGTTCCCACGTTTTCTAGGCAGAAATCTCTTCGAAGCTGGTCGATTGCTGTCGATATTTCTCGATGTGTGGCGAATGTTTTCGGTGTTCGGTCGCGTATTCTGGTTGCCTAAGCGTCAATGTAACAGGGCATCGCTATGAGTTTACCCTCCTATATCTAGTATGCATGGTCCACAAATTCTATTTTTTTCTTAAAAACAATAAAGTAGTTCTCGCCAACTCAAATTCATAGAATATTTATACCTCACATCTGTCAAGTGTGTGTATCTCCTATAAACCGTACATCTAGAAAGGTCAATTCACAACACTTCAGCAGGTCGAAGGTTTGAGAAATCTGATAACTGCTGAGGATACCCCAACCCAAATGGCTTCAAGTGGGTTGACTCTGCACTTCCTACGCAACGCCGTCATCAGTTAATAAAGGATTAAGTTCAGCGTTAAATCCTCTGAGAAAATATATTGAGTTACAGACATATAGAATAGAGAAGCCAAATGTATTAAGTCAGTCAAACAGGGCCATATAATTATCCGGCATTATTTCCCTGTCCTACTGGAAGTTATCGACTCTGTGGCAACGTTGTCCCTTTCCGCATCAGCGCAACATCTCCGCAGCAAGTTCGTGCAAGCTCCGCACGTTTGTTGGGCTTCAGTACATATACAGGGTGACTTTGAAGTTGAGTCATTAATTTTCAGATAATGATTTTAGAAGGAAGATAAACCAAAATATGTGTGTAAAAATTAAAAAAAATAAAAAAAAAAGTTTACCTTGTTTTATAAAGTATCCTCCCGACAAGTATTTCAGTGCGGACCTGTATTTGATCGTGAGGTCCCCTGTGAGGTCTTAAGTCACCTGATTCATGAGCCCGTTGTACTACATTAACAAAGGCACGAGGGGTTGGTTGCACTCGATTGGGAAACCGATCCGCATAAACATGTGCCATTTTTTATTTAGTTTGAGCCACGCAACAGACACTATTCACACGCGACTGACACTGACTGTATGTATAACTGAACTGAATGAAATAATTGTAAAAAACTCGTTCCAAATTCTTTCGCTTTTTTGTTTCCGATGCGATGAACCGATAAGGTGGATTATATCCGTTGTTGCCAAACACAAGCACATGATATTATTATTGAGACAGGGCGGTACTCAAACTTCCAAAGGGCTATAAGTTTGTTACTTTAATTTTACCAGAAAAATGGTAAAGGAAAAAAACATTTCTTTTGATCAGATCTATTCACTGTTAAAATAAATGACAACTTCGAAGTCACCCTGTATATAGGCCGGATTGATTCGCCAGGCGGTTCGCTTTGATAGGCATGGGTGAGCGGAACGAAAACATTTCTCATTCCAAGTTTTAAAGGCAAATGTAAGGGATATATTTCTGGCATATGATATACAGGGTGACTTTGAAGTTGAGTCATTAATTTTCAGATAATGATTGTAGAAGGAAGATAAACCAAAATATGTGTGTAAAAATAAAAAAAAAAATAAAAAATTTTTTTTACCTTGTTTTATAAAGTATCCTCCCAACAAGTATTTCAGTGCGGACCTGTATTTGATCGTGAGGTCCCCTGTGAGGTCTTAAGTCACCTGATTCACGAGCCCGTTGTACTACATTAACAAAGGCACGAGGGGTTGGTTGCACTCGATTGGGAAACCGATCCGCATAAACATGTGCCATTTTTTATTTCGTTTGAGCCACGCAACAGACACACGCGACTGACACTGAATGTATGTATAACTGAACTGAATGAAATAAAAACGTCGTTCCAAATTCTTTCGCTTTTTTGTTTCCCATGCGATGAACCGATAAGGTGGATTATATCCGTTGTTGCCAAACACGAGTACATGATATTATTATTGAGACAGGGCGGTACTCAAACTTCCAAAGGGCTATAACTTTGTTACTTTAATTTTACCAGAAAAATGGTAAAGGAAAAAAACATTTCTTTTGATCAGATCTACTCACTGTTAAAATAAATGACTCAACTTCGAAGTCACCCTGTATATATATATATATATACAGTAATGGACAAAAGTATATAGACAAATATGTATATTTACGTAAATACCTTAAGAAAACGAATTCATACTTCATTGCTCCATAAACAAATGCGTTATTAGTAGAAAAAATAAATTCCTTGTTTTTACATCATCTGCAATGAACACAAGTCTGAATATAAGCACTTTTTATGAGGTACAAAAATATGTAGACAAATTCTTTTCAACATTAGTTTAGTACAGTTTCGTGTCAGAAGAGGATTAGTTTGTGTTCATCAAGTATTGTGGAATAAGTTGAGTGACCATGGCGCGTGGTCCAGTAATTTCTTTCGATGTGAAAACTAAGATCATTGGGTTATACAAAGATGATAAACGGCAAGGCGACATTGCCAAAAATTTGAAGCTGAAGCGTAAAGCAGTTTGGGCAATATTGAACAAATATAAACAAAAAGGTATCTTGGAAGCCTCTAAGAGAAGCGGTCGGCCTAGAAAACTAAATGCTAGATCAGTTAGATTAATAAAAGTATTTCCGTCCAAAGATCCGTTTAAAAATTGTCAGTGTTTCTACGAAAACTATAAGTAGAAGATTAAATGATTTGAAGTTATTTACACGTCGCCCGTGTAAGAAGCCCCTAATCTCGAGGAAAAGCCGTAAGGACCGATTACAATTTGCACGGTTGCATCTTGATTAGAGCATCTGAGACTGGAAGAGGGTATGCTTCAGTGACGAATCCAACTTCAATATGTTTGGATCAGATGCTGTTCATTACGTTAGACGTCCTAGTGGAGCCCCAAGTACACTTTGCTTACTGTCAAAAATGGAGGCGGGTCTGTTATGGCTTGGGGGTGCTTTTCGAGGTTTGGGATGGGACCTTTACATAGAATAGATGGCATTATGGATAAGTTTGTATACACAGACATGTCATGTTACCCCATATGGAAGACAATATGCCCTTAAGATCAATCTTCCAGCAAGATAATGACCCAAAGCACACTTCAAATCTCGCAAAGAAATTCTTTCTGGATGAAAAAATACCAGTTCTCAAATGGCCTTCACAGTCTCCCGACATAAACCCCATTGAAAATCTATGGGAATACTTAGATAAGCAAATACGAGATAAAAATTATTCAAACAAGGACCAACTTTTTTGCCGCTATAGAGAAAAAGTGGAGACAGATGAATCTTACATCAAGAAACTTCTGCAATCTGCCGAAACGATGCCAGGCGGTGATTGATAATAACGGTTATGCTACAAAATATTAACACGAACATGGTTGGTTTTCTAGAATTCAATGAACTTTGCTTCTTTTTTCTATAATTGTTTTGCTTTGTCTATATATTTTTGTCCTTCATAGTTCCAGTTTTTTTCATTTAATTTTTTATTGAAGGGAATCTAATAAATTTATTTACGTATAAGTGAGTATTATACTATAACGAATTATGTATACAGGTTGGGGTATTAATAAAACAAGTTAAAAAATAAATACAGCACAATATTAATTTGCCTATATACTTTTGCCCATTACTGTATGCATGGCTAATAGGTGCTTAGGATTATTGAAGTTGGGAAGCGTATAAATATACTAAGATCAAAGTTAATATACCCTCACCCACCCATACAACCCCAATCCTCAAATTTCAACCCTTACAATCTTTATCTGAAAATGATCGGGACCCTCGAAAAGTCTAACACGTCGGAAAATGAAGTTTGGGCGATTTTTTTTTTCGTGTTTGGTCTTTTTCTTCGCGACCACATATATTCTAAAACTACAAAGGTTTTTCATCCTTAGCTTAGTAGTATACTTGTGTGAAAATTTCATCAAAATCCGAGCGGTCCTTCTCAAGTTATAAAATCAGCGGGCAGACAGACAGGCCGACGGAAATGAACGACATGCTTTTTCGTGATGCAAGTCATATAACATCCAAAAAATAATATCTTCATTTCGGAATAAGAATTAAAACAATCCTGATGCTCTCGAAAAATCCTGAAAGTATATGAATAGGAAGATTGGATTTTTTATATTACTTGGAGGCAGTCGTGATAAACAGCTCTTGAAGTAATAAGTCTTGCTCATAAAATGGTGTTTAAAAAATCCTGATCTTCCATGATCCTGTTTGTCATTTGATGGACACCTCAAAATAGAAAATGATCAGCCAATTTCATTCTGCTTATTGAAATACTGGACTAAAGTGATAGAATTACTATTCAAGTTCCGAGAGTAAAGATCTCCTTACAAATTGATGACCAGTTGCAGCAAATCATATCGGGCATCCCACCGAGAAGTTTATAGGAGCACTCCTCGTCTGTATTTATGTCCATCCATCTAGGGAGCAGGGTACAAGCATATAAATACTAGCTCCAGACCAACACTGTGCACAAGCAAACTGCAAACACATCCGTCTTTGATGTTCGAGTTAATTTCTGCAACTGTTTGATGAGACGTGAATAGTTCAGTCTATATAGCACAACGAATTCGAATATGGTAGATTAGAACGCGCCAAGCTTATAATATTGCATTGTTTGTCGCTAAAAGTGTGTAGTATTAGTGCATACTTTAGACCAATTTGACTACTTGGCCTAGCAAAGTGACAAAACTCATCGGCGTATACTCGTTTCTCTGGAAAGAATATTCAAGTAGCGTAAAGTTGTACATAATTTTGGCGACAAAGAAATCGTAAACTTGATCCTTTTAGCTTGTTTGAATTCGTTGGTATGAGGGATGTCTTTTAAGTTTTGCATATAGAAACATAGTAGGCCGCGCGGATCGAACGTCAGTACTGAATTTTAACCTCGCTCTTTAGTAAACTTAAATTCAAAGTTTCACAACAATTTGTGCAGTGTTCTCACTACAGTGAATTTTTAAGTGTCACCAAGTCATTAGAAAAATGGTACTCAACTAAGAACATTTTCGCGCCATAATTTATTACAACCTTCAGAGACAATTATCGCAACAAGAATGCCTTGCTGAGTTACTGTCTGTTTTCGGCAACGAAGCGCCACATCAGTCGACAATTTCCCGTTGGTATGGAGAATTCAAACGTGGACGCGTGAGTCTTAGCGACGATCCCAGGGTGGGTGCACCAAAAACGGCAGTCACCCAGGAAAACGGCGATGCTGTGCGCAAACTCATCATTGAAGATAAACATGTGACATATCGCGAGATTGAGGCGTCCTTGAAGATCTCAAAGACCTGAATTCAAAAAATTTTACATGAAGAATTAGGAGTAAGAAAATTAGTTTCTCGTTGGATACCCCACCTGTTGACTGAAGAGCAGAAAGCAGCCAGGGTTAATTGGTGTCAAAAAACGCTTGACCGTTTCAATTCCGGAAACTCAAAAAATGTATACAGCATTGTTAGTGGTGAAAATGAGAAACGAGAAAATAAACGACAGTCGGCTGTTTGGGTGTTCCAAGGTGAAGAAAAGCCAACAAAAGTCATCCGTTCTCGAAGTGTTTCGAAAAAGATGGCCGCGACATTTGTGTCAAAAGCGGGTCATATTGCAACAATTCCTCTTAATGAGCAAAGAACTATTACTGCGTATTACTATACCACCATTTGTTTGCCAAAAGTCATCACCGAGCTTCGAAAAATCAACCCCGAAAGAAGAATCATCCTCCAGCAAGACAATGCAAGCTCGCACACAGCCCAAAAAACAAGGCTGTATTTAACGGAAGAAAACGTGGAATTATTGGACCATCGTCCATATAGTCCTGATCTAAGTCCTAACGATTTCTTTAATTTCCGGAAAATTAAAAACAGAGGTGGTCAAAGGTTCCAGTCACCCTCCGAGTTTCCACATTGCACACCAGCGGAGTTACTAAGTCATATTAAAGACCTCAAGGTGCGTAAAGCACCTGGGGAGGATCAAATCACCAACAAGGCGTTGGAGCTGCTCTCGCCGAAAGCCCTGACATACTTGGTGACAATAATCAATGCGACGCTCAAAATTCAGTACTTCCCTGCTAGGTGGAAGACTGCTGAGGTCATCATGATTCCAAAGAAGGTGGGTTCGATATTTCCTCAGGATTACCGTCCCATAAGTCTGCTGTCAGCTCCTTCTAAGCTCGCTGAAAAGGAGATTTATCGTCACCTTGAGAATTTTTCGTCAAATCACCATGTGATTCTTGACGTCCAATTCGGTTTTCGGTCCGAGCATAGCACCGAGCTACAGGCAGTCAGGCTGGTGGAGCATGTAACCAGAGGGTTCACCCTTAGCATGAGTACTGGCATCTTGCTTTTGGATGTCTCAAAAGCCTTTGACAAGGTGTGGCACGCGGGCCTCCTCTATAAACTAATCCAAAAGGATTTTCCTTTTTGGCTTCTAAAATTACTGAAATCCTTTCTTGAAGGAATGAAGTTTCGGATCAAAATTAACAATGTTTTGTCAACAACACGGCCAGTACCGGCCGGTGTTCCTCAGGGTTCGGTCCTAGGACCAATTCTTTATTCGCTTTTCATCCATGATGTCCCTTCTCCCAGCAACTGTGAAGTCTACCTCTATGCTGACGACACTGCACTATCGCCCAGTCGTGTACTGGTGATCTGGTTCAAGATGGGTTGCAGAATGCGGTGGACGAAGTTCTAGAGTGGGCGGAACGGTGGCTGATAAAAATTAATCATTCGAAAACGCAGGCTATTTATTGTACCAAAAAACGTCGCGGCCCCCCAGCAGGGGTTTCTGTAGACGGAAATCGTGTACCATGGACAAATTCTGCCAAGTATCTCGGTGTCGCCCTTGATAAAGGCATGACCTGGCAGAAACATACAGCATCCATAAAAACAAAATTCCAAATTGCGTTTCGGCAACTATATCCTTTGTTATGTAGATCCTCCAAATTGATTTTTATAAACAAAGTTCGACTATATAAAATGATTATTAGACCAGCCATTACTTATGCATGTGCGGCTTGGTGTTTTCTTGCCAAGACACACATGCAAAGTCTTCAAGTACTGCAAAGCAGAACTTTGCGGACAATTTGCAACGCTCCATGGTATGTCTCAAATGAGACACTACACAGAGACCTTGACATTTTTTACTTGAGGAATTATGTCAAGCTTCAGGCGCAGCGACGTTATAGTCAAGCGGAATCGCACAGCAACCCTCTGTTGCGTGACTCAGTGGACTACACAGTGGAGCAAGTTCGCAAACATTCAAGGCCACGGCTCGCACTGTAATCAAAAGTTAGCGTGAATCTTTAGTAAACTCAAAATTATACTCTAACAAAACCGAATCAAAAATTTGTTTAGTTCACCTCAAAATTAATCCGTGTACCAAGTCAAAAAGCCTAGGTGTTTCCTCTTAAACTAACCATATCTGTTTTTCTTTGTTCTTCTCCTTTTTTCTTCTCTTTCCCTTTCTCTTTTTCCTTGACTTTGTCTGGTTTCTGGGCAACCAGGACTGACAGATTCGACTAACGTACATCAGACAGTGACTAATGGGCAAAGGTCCTACGGACCGCCCAGACAAATAAATGACGAATAGTATAGGTTCCAGTCACTAGAAGAAGCAGTTGACCCATTCAAAGATGCCGTTTTGGAACTGCCAGCAAACGAGTGGAATAAGTGCTTCGAAAATTGGTTCGAGCGCATGCAGGTGTTATTAGTCTTCGTGGAGAATACTTCGAAAAAAAAAATAAAGTAATTTAAAACTGCCTACCGTGTTGTTTTATTTCCATATGCAAAACTTAAAAGACATCCCTCGTAGAGCTTTTCAGTGCAAAATTTCAATTTTCATATCCCCTTGCTACAAACAGATGAAAATTCATAATCTGGGACGCTGTTTTTATATGTTCAGGACGCAAGTTCTTACTAGAAGTCGATGAAAAACATTGAACCAACATAAATCAATGGTCCTTAAGTTTTTTTATACTTAAACAGCTTTGACTTTAACAAACCCAATAAGCAATAATTGAAACCGGAGGTCATTATATCAGTTTCGTTTGTGGGCACCTCTTATTGGTTAAGGTAAAGGCTCTGGAGACATTTAGTTGAGTCTGTGATAGTGACAGATATAAGTCTGACACAATCTAATTACTGTCATCCACAAGCACTCTTGAAACTTCAAAATCTATCTCTGTGGTATACACAGGTTTACATTGAAGCTGTGTGACTAAAATATTCTCGGTGAATCATGGAATACGTTTACTCCACACTGTATTACCAAGTCACCCAAATTGATATTTGGTATGTTCAGTAGTAGTTGCAGGCGTTGTCATAACATATAACTAGTTTTGGGCTAATACGAGTATCATCTGAATCTACCAGAGTCCATGGACAAGCTTTACAGATTTCTGGAAATGCGGATTCCCTCAATATTTCTTACTACGCCCAAAAAAACAAAATATATTTTCTCAAGCCTCTAACAGACTATAGACAGTGGTAAATTACCTTGGACATTCTCCATAAAGCCAGATAGCGTATTCGAATGGGCTGAAAAAACAGCCAATTAATGCCGACTACTTCATTTTATGGTCAACTGAACAACATGAATTTTCATCAGCGTAAACGTAAGCACAAAATATGGAACTGCATCATAGCCCAGTCAATGAAAGTTTGCATCCATAAAAAACTGTTCTAGTTTTGTTCAAAGCATACAATAAAGATTTTTACGCGAGATCCCGTAGTGAATGGATCGGGAACAGAGATAATTTCCCCGCCCTCTCGAAATTTTGACAGTTTCAAGTTACACCGGAAGTGGTTAGATGGCGCATATTGAGCAAAATGTTTGCTTTAAGCTCCTTGATGAATTTAGCTGCTTTCTTTGAATCTGAAGTAAAAAGACCGATCGTTTTTTGTGCAATGTACATATATATATAACTTTGACAACTATGACAAGTGCGGATTCTATATCTACAGTAACCTTCTCCGTCGTCATTTAAAATCAGATGGACCTGTTCCTCCTTATGATTTAATAATTTAACTCAATTTTCAGCACTGAGAAGACAAATTTTCAATTGACGTGTCTGTTTTTTTTAAATGACATTGACATAAGACCTGTTACCAGCTAGTACCTCACCGACGTTAGGCGGTTTTTTTTATACTCCAACTACCACGAAGGCCTAAGGTACCGTGAGGCGGTTAACCGTACCATGGGTTTTTTTGTCATTTGGATGACCTCACATCCGTCCTCCACGATTCCTGTTCTTCGCGAACATTTGAGTATCAGTTCCCGGTACTGCACTGTGCTACACCGTGGACCCACGAAAAAATCCTTTATATTCAAAGCACATTTACGCCTCCGTCAAAACAAACACCAGCGCTGTACTATAACACCCATTTCTGATGTTTTATAAAATTCTCGCGGAATGTTCCATATTCGTTTTGAAGTCGGTATTCATTATTGGTCCGCGAGAGGAAGCAGAGTAGAATTTCAACACATCCACCGACTTGATTAATTAGAGTATTTAGTTAAGAAATTTATGAATATTCTGTTCGGGTTTGTTCTCACAGACAAGCCAGGTAATTTGTACTGACATGTTGTTGAAAGGAAACAGATACTTTAAAGGTATTTCATTATTATGTTTCGTTTGTAACTGTCGAAATTATTGATCATAGCTTGTGATCATTAGTAACGAGTAGGAAATAATTATATACAGAGCAAAAATTATGCCTTCTACATTTTCTGATCCTAATAACATTGACAATCAACCTTTATTTTAATTCAAAGTTGATCACTATCAAATTGAATAAAAAAAATGATTAAATGTCACTTGAGTACGCTAAAGCTTAAGGGAAATTAGTGTATTTGACAACTAAGTTTAAATATTGACCTTCTAGAACTCGACGCGCAATTTGGGCGTATTCAGCGAAGATCACAACACTTAGGCCCTATTGGAGTCAGAGCTAGACCATCAGCCATTCCACATTGTTGAAGAAGGTTGTAATAAGACCCAGCAGATTTCCTTTATGTTAGCGCCAGTATGCAAATGCCAATGGTCATACAAAAGAGACATCCTTATCGATAGCACAGATGAGCAATGGCAAAGTATACTAAGTGACATATAAATCCGAACACCCAGTTTAAATGGTTTTATTTTAATAAAATTTTGTATAAGTACTTAATGAAGCATAATAAGTAAATGATAAAAATTTCAAAATGATTGCACTGCTTTAAAGCCCTTCGACCTTTAATAATGTGTGGATGCACCCTGATGTGCTACGCATTCTCCAACGCGCCTAGGCATGCTTGTGATCAGGTGGTCAATGTCCTCCTGTGGTATCTTATTAAAGGCAACCACCAACTCCTCTCGAAGAGCTTCTAGAGTCTGAGGAGGACGTTGCAAATTGAGCAATCTCCTACCCATCATATCCCACACGTGCTCAATTGGGCATAAGTCGGGAGATCTTGGTGGCCATGGTAACAATGTGACATCATTATTTTGAAAGAAGTCTATTGTGATTCTTGCAACATGTGGTCGGGCATTATCTTGTTGGAAAGTTGGATCTGCCAGGGTGTCAAGATAGGGTAAAAGATGGGGTTCTAGAACTTCGTGGATATAACGCTGCGCGTTCATGTTTCCTCTGATGAAGATTAAAGGTGACCTGGAACCATAAGCTTTAGCACCCCAAACCATAACTCCAACAGTGTGATGAACATGTCTTTCAACAAAAAACTGTGGATTCCTCCTTTCACCACGTCGCCTTCTAACCCTGGCACGACCATCGTGCATGCCTAAACAAAATCGAGACTCGTCACTAAAGACAATACTGTTCCATTCCTGATCCAAGACCGTTGTCTGCACCACTCAAGGCGATTACGTCGGTGTTCTCGAGTTAAAGGGAGGACCCAGTGTGGCCGGTATGAAAACAAGCCAAAACTTCTCATTCTTCGGTAAACACTTCGCATGCCAATAGGTCTTCCGTGTTCTGCAAACCATTCATTTGCAATGGACCTGGTAGTGGAGAAACGGTCCCTTAAGGCCAATAATCTTAGGCGGCGATCTTCACGGTCTGTTGTTCTACGGCGGCGTCCAGTGCCCCTTGCTCTTTGCGTACGGCCTTCTCGAAGCCATGCCTGACAACACCTAACCACAGTGACACTTCTTTGCACTCTAACTGCAATTGCCCGAAAAGAAAGTCCAGCTTCCCGAAGTCCCACTATACGGCCCCTATCAAACTCACTAAGTTGACGAAATCGTACAGGTCTCCGTACTCTAGACATCGTAACCGATCGTAAAGGATGTCAAGAACCAAAATCCGCCAACGTTGATTCTTTACTGCGGCTGAAATATTCATTTTTAGAGCGTTAGTGAATTAAAAAAATGCAGTATAAAAACCGGAATGTCCAACTGATAAGGCTGAAAATTTTTTCACTTGTTATTTACAGTAAGATAAATACATTCACCAACTTTTATTAAAATAAAACCATTTAAACTGGGTGTTCGGATTTATATGTCACTTAGTATATATGCCTGAGTATATCACCTTCCTGTTTACATCTCGTATACGAGGATTGTATCATATTTTGAGCTAACAGTATTTAGTCACAGGAGCAGTAGCAATGGACAGGTAGTATATGTAGCATTTCGTTACTTTATCACTAGAAAGCTGAGGAATTCTCTAGTGAGCAGTCAGACCTTCAGACGAACCACCTTGCATGTTTGAAGTCTGTGTGGATCTACAATTCTGGTTTCAGTAGCCTTTTTAATAGCTGTCTGTATTTATATTGTTGATGGGTTGAGTCACCAAGTGCCAAAAAGCAATCACATAGTTGGAGCCTATTTCATTTAAAGCATTGCTTTTTAATTGCCAACTATTTCTATGGCAAACCTAGTCTATTTACTTGACTCTAATGTCAATAAACCGCCTGTTTTACCCATTACTTATCGCCTATTGATTACTAACTTATAAACGCTTGCTTTAAACGGCTTAATCACCAAAGGTTCTTACGTTGTAAGTGTAGTAAAATATAATTAGAACATATTTAAACTTCATCGTACAACTTGCTAAATAAGGCTCGATTAAGGCTTTTATGGTCTGGCGATGGTAGAGATAAATTGCCCAAGGTAAAGTAGGAGGGTACGCGCGAAATATAGTGACTGGGCATGACTCCTCAGGCTTTATATCTAGAAACTTTCTTGTATACGGGTCGATCAATCCTTGGGATCAGCTGTTTGCGTACCAATTTTTCAAATTTGTATAGCAATAGTCAATAGTCTTGAAATTATATTATGCCAAGGCGTTTTGAAAGTGAAGCCTTCCTTTTCAGAAACCTCTTTGTTGGAAATAAAAAACAGTGAAAAAGTAAAACACAAAATTGAAGAAAAGCAGTCACTGTTTTTTGATACTAAAGCCACCACGCAGGCCTACGGCATAAATATTCGTTGGATATCGGAACACACATGAAAATGGATAACTAAATTCAAGTGGAAAGATGGATTAGTCCAAAACACCTGAAAGATTGACATAAGGAATTCGATACAGAAAGACGACAGATAAAGGATTGTGGATGCTGAAGCAAGGCAAATCCAAACCAAGTGCTGCAGAACTCTAGGCAATAACGAACCTGTATGAAATAAGCTGATGATAACAATAAAATTTTCTTTCATTGCAATGTTTGCTGTCTAGCAACACAGACCATTGTTACCGTGTTGCTGTTGTGTCCAGAATAGCACAGCCAGCTACACGAGGAAAGTGAGCAGC